ACATCTTAACATTGTACGAAGATTCAACACACAATCAGATAAGAGAGAGGGTGTAGCGTTCATAAGAGACACCAGAATTTTTACGTGGAAACCCCTGAAAATGGGGAAAAACCACAAGGTCTAGCCCATTTTGAATGAATCCACTAGTATTTGCAGTCGATTACAAATGAGTCCCTTCCTTGGGAGAAGGCCTTGGCTTGATGGTACAAATGTACATCATATAGAGCGCATTACATGGTGGGAGTTACAATATAGACATGTTTGTTTGGTCGGCACGACCATAGTCGATAGGATAGAGGTCGGAAAGACCGTTGTTTGGTGATGGAGGTCGGAATGATCATAATAGGTGATGGAAGTCGGAAGGACAGTAGTTAGCAGGAGATAGGGGTCTGAAAGACCGTAGTAGTAGGGCGGTACTTCGGTAGAACTCTAGGCATCATGCGGTGGTCCGATAGAAGTTCGGGCCTCAGGTGATGGTCCGGTAGAAGTCCGGGCCTCAGGTGGTGGTTCGACATAAGTCTGGGTGTCACGTGGTGGTCTGGAGAAGTTCGGGCCTCAAATGGTGGTCCGACATAAACCAAGGCCTCAAATGGTGGTCCAGCGGAGCTCAGGGCCTTAGGTGGTGGTTCGGCGGAGTAACAACGTCAGGCGATGGTCTGGCGGAGGTGAAAGCTTCAAGTGGTGGTCCGGCAGAGCAACGACGTCAGGCGGTGGTTCGACGGAGGTGAGGGCCTCAAGCGGTGGTCCGACGGAGCAACGACGTCAGGCGATGGTTCGGCAGAGCAACGATGTCAGGCGGTGATCCAGTAGAGGTGAGGGCCTCAAGTGGTGGTCCAGTGGAGCAACGACGTCAGGCGGTAGTCCGACGGAAGTATGGCGGTGGTTGAGGAGGAGCGAGGAGGCAAGAGCGATCTCCGTTTTCTCTCTTGTTCTCTTGCTTGAAGCATCCTTTTCAAGAGAAAGGATGGGTCTATTTATAGATTTCTGGTGTGGCATGGCCCGTAAATAGGTGAGAGATCAAGGATAAATGGGGAGTGGTTGGAAGAACGGCTGATGTTGAATCCCTTGATCATAGACCGTTTGATGGACATTTGAATGTCTTAGTGATGTCGGAATTCGGTGATCTTAGGCTCGTTGGATTTGTCTCGTCAAGCCGCTTGATTCAATTATAAGCACGTTGCGTTTGGAAACCGTTTGGTAATCCAAATTGTGGTTTGAACCTTCCGACAGCGCTTCTAACCCTTGATTTGGACCTGTTTGGGCTCAGATTGGGTTGAATTTGGTGTCGTTGTGTTTGTATTCTCAAGAAGTTCAGTTCGACTATAAGTTTGCTGAATTCGTAGTTCGGATGGTCCCAATTTTAATTTCGGAAGTTTCCAACTTGATTTTGCATCGAGATTCATGCCCGATCAAGATAATTTTTTGATGACATATCAACTATTATATGGGCTTTTAGTGGGATTGAGTTGTGATTCGCCTAAACTAATGCATATTGTTGTGATTATCAACAATATTAGTATTTCTATGATGCTTAACATTGGTGCTGTCCATATCTTTTTTTTCAGATCAGTTGGTGGACAAGCGTGGCTTGTGTCTTAGTAAAACTCTAAGCAGAGTGCTGTGAAGGTCGTGAGTTTATGGGTACAATATATCAGTACTGTGGCTTATGATGTCCAATTTTAATGGTTCATTGGATGAGGAATGTTCGTTCAATGGCAATGCCTTTGTTTGACTTTTGATGTTATGTCAAGCATCAACTTCTTTAAGGTGGTGAAGACTCTCTTATTGTTTTAAACGCATTACAATCCAACATGTATGGAACTTATACTTTTTGACTTGTTAAAGTACTTTTAGAACACTTTTTGAAAAAGATTTTTGGAACAAAAGTTGTTAGTTCCATTAAATGGGACTTTGTACATGGTGAAAAAAGTTTTTCTGATGTCAAGCCAAATTTATAGATGTTGGTGCCAGGTGAGGTATTGATGGTTGAGGAGCTTGATGTTGATGACATGGTGTTGCTAAAATCAACTTAAAACTAAAAGGATGTGGCAAAGAAAGCTATATAAGGGAATTCAATGGAAAAATAGTTGAGTACCTCCGTATCAATCCATTGAGTGCATGACATTTTTATGGTGGGGAGTGGTCTGTTACATCCTTGACGATTGTGGATGGGGACTTCAGTATTAGGTGATTGCCTTGCTCCTTTAGTTATCCAAGAAGACAAGATAAATGTTGTTGTTTTATGTGAACTTGCTCCGTGCCTAGATGCATGTGCAATTGCAAAAGTGAATTGTGAGGGTATGCCTTATAGATAATATGTTTAGTGACGTTTACAAGTTGCACATTCTGTGGGCACATATGGCAAGTTTTGTGCTTGCAATAGTGAGAGGGATTTTAATGGCTAATATGGCAATAGCGGCTTGCAGTGGCTTATGCTTTCAGCAACTCAAGTATGCAAGTGACTAAGTGTTTGCATGTGGTTTTATGCTTGCAGTGGCTGTGCATTTACAAAAGAATGCTGTGGTTGTGTGCTTCTGGTGACATGTGATTGCATTTGCATATGCTTGCAGTGGCATTTGCTTGCATTGGCATGTACGTGGAAATGACAATGTAGTTATAAGTGATGTGTGTGTGCAGACATCTTCCTGCAAATCAGATATGTAAATAGAGTAATATATAGTGGTATGTATGCAAATCTCCCTAAACTTAGGGGGATTTACATACATTCCACTTTATACTACTCTATTTACATATCTAACACCTAAAACTTTAATATTACATATATACCACCTTATATTATTTTAATATCAAATATATCACCCATATTTCATTCCCACCGCCCATATATTTCATTCCTAACACTCATATTTGATATGAACTTGAACTATAGTTCCTAACACTCATATTTGATATGAACTTGAACTATAGGTGGTATGTATGTAATATTAAAATTTTAGGTGTTAGATATGTAAATAGAGTAATATATATTGATATGTATGCAAATCTCCCTAAACTTAAATAGGAGCATGTTGAGCTATTCCGAGCGAACATGGCATGGTACTGCAGAGAAGCAATGCTTGCAAGAATGGTCAATTGCATGCAGCTAAGCATGCACAAATGGCACGGTGTATATGAGAAAAGTGTTGTTTTTATGAACAATTGGAATTGATGACGCAATCAAGCTATAGAGGTGTGAAAATACATGCATGCAATTAGAAAACTGCATGCTAGTTTCTGGACATATGTGCACTTATAGAGAACATGCGCAAAGTTGTTTGTGTGTGGTGGCTACAGATGTTCATATTGATGTGCACTGAGTAGGAGCGATTGTAGACAATTGCCAAACAATATGTTGCCTACTTATGTCTACCGTAGGTGGCTGCCAAAAAAAAAGATAGCAATACCGTGTTAGAGAGATGCATACACAGAGAGAGAGAGAGAGTGTGTTGTTGACAAGTTGTTAATGATTTGTGGAGAACTTGAAGAGGATCATATTGTCGTTGCAACCTTAATCATTGGATGGTGGTTGCAAATTATTGTTGCTTTCATGTTTGTGTACGTGCTCAGACATATTGTTGTTAAGTGTGTTGGGCCTTTTTTTTGGTTGTTGGAGATCTTTGGGTTTGTGTGCACAGGTATTTTATGTACAAAGGTGGTTGATCGTCGAAAGAGGAAGTCATTGGTGGTGTGGCTAGAGACCTTATTGTGCAGGTTTTTGTACATGTGAAAGCAGTGTGCTTTTTGTTTTCTATAAATGTAACCTTTGTATCAGGACAAGGGTGTATGTAGTTTTTCATGTGTATGTGAAGACTTTTATTTATGACTGCCATGTCCTTTTGGTTAGGAGTGTTTTATCCTATAACTTGGTGGTTTTTTTTTTCTCCATAAATCTTGATCATGATGTGTGTTATAAACTTGTTTGCATTTTAAACACTTGTGGGTAAATTGTGGGAAGGCTAAAACTATAGAAGTGCACTTGAGAAATTCGCTTAGGATATAAGGTTCTCTACACGTCTTTTACTCCCCATTTGGCCTTATCATAATACTGATAGGCCGGTCCAGCCGGTCCGACGGAACTGGCTTATGCAAAACAGGCAGAAGTCCGCCTCTTCCGTACGTGCAAGAGTGCACGCTCGGGCGTGCGTAAGCCATTTTGGAAGGATTTTTAATGGAGTTTGGAGGGAAATTTGAATGTAGGGATTGTTTGGAGATTTCCTTTGGATTGTATGCATTAAATAGGTTGTTTTCTTAGGATTAGGGCATCTTGAATTTGGGCTAAAATTCGAGTCTCCTAGATTTAAGTTTTCTTTTGGACTCTAGCGGCGTCTAGAGATTTGGGAGAGATAAATCCTCCTCTCGAATAGAGGATCAATTGTATTTGTTATTTTTCGTTTCCATTTCATCAAATAATACAAATTATCTACTGTGTTCCTGTTTTTGTGTGGATTTTTGTGGAGAATTCTTGTTGTTTCCCGAAGATTGATAGGAAATACTTGGGATCTAGAAGTGTTTCCTATCAAACACTTGGATGTTAACAAATTGGTTTTATGCTAACTTCTTTTGTTATGATTCAAGGCCATATTTAGAGGCTAAAATGGATTCGAAAAGGTTTTAAAAAATTTTCTTGTGGTTCCCTAATGATCTATTAATTTATTAAAGGTGCCTTAAGAATCATTTCTTGTTGTTGATGGGTTTCTCATATTTGGACTCTTCCTTATTGAGGAGGGAAATTACACTCAGTTTTCTGATTTAGCTTGCTCTAAACAACAATTAATATACATATATAGTTTTTTTTTCTTTTTAAAATTAAGGGTAGATGTTTATTGTTTGGTTTCCAATGAATAATATCCTGATGGTTTAAAATTTTCAGAACATTTGATAATTATGTGCTTTCTTCTTGTTTTCACAAACATACGGTGATATTTAACCTTCTTCTAGAAACTTTTTGTGTTGACCCCATGTTGGTGATGTAATGTTAACATTTCTCAGAATTTTTTCAGGCACCTGTAATGACTGTAGATAGGTATGCCGCTGCTGAAAGTTTTTACAAATTGGCAATGGCTTATGCACCTGTTCCAGATCTTCACATAGTGTGGTTGCTGAATCTATGCGATTTACACCAGGAGATGCAATCCTGGGCTGAAGCTGCTCAGTGTGCAGTTGCTGTAGCAGGTGTGATCATGCAGGTGAATTAATTGGCCAATGACTTTCTCACGTGGAGTATAATTTTTTTTTTTTTTTACGTGGAGTATAATTTCATTCCTATTACAGTATTGTTTTTCATTTTGGCTACTTTTGTAGGCCCTTGTTGGAAGGAATGATGCTGTTTGGACTTCAGATCATGTTGTTGCATTGCAGAAGATTTGTCCCATAGTTAGCAGTGATGTTGCTGCTGAGGCATCAGCAGCTGAGTTTGAAGGTTATGGCGCATCAAAACTTACTGTAGACTCTGCAGTGAAGTATCTACAACTTGCAAATAAACTCTTCGCTGAGGCTGAGCTTTACCATTTCTGTGCCAGCATATTGGAACTGATCATTCCGGTATATAAAAGCAGAAGATTGTATGGACAGATAGCGAAATGCCTCACATCACTGACTAATATCTACGAGTCTATTGTTGAGCAAGAATCGAGTCCGATTCCTTTTATTGATGGTACTTACTATCGAGTTGGATTCTACGGCGAACGGTTCGGGAAGCTCGACAGGAAGGAATATGTATACAGGGAACCACGTGATGTTCGCCTGGGCGACATAATGGAGAAGCTCAGTCACATATATGAGTCTAGAATGAATGGAAATCACACTTTACATATTATTCCTGATTCTAGGCAGGTCAATGCAGAGGAGTTGCAGCCAGGTGTGTGCTACCTTCAGATAACAGCAGTCGATCCTGTCATGGAGGATGAGGATCTGGGAAGTAGAAGAGAAAGGATCTTCTCCTTGTCCACTGGAGGAGTCCGAGGGCGTGTATTTGACCGTTTCTTATTTGATACACCATTCACAAAAAATGGCAAGAGTCAAGGTGGACTTGAAGACCAGTGGAAACGTCGTACAGTTCTCCAGACGCAAGGATCTTTTCCTGCTTTGGTGCACCGGCTTTTTGTTATCAAGTCAGAATCCATGGAGTTTTCTCCAGTAGAAAACGCTATTGGAATGATTGAAACTAGGACAGCTGCATTAAGGAATGAACTCGAGGAACCTCGTAGCTCAGAAGGTGACCAATTACCCAGGCTACAGAGTCTACAGAGGATTCTCCAAGGCAGCGTCGCTGTGCAGGTAATCTTCATTGTCTTCATGTTTGGTAGTGGAGTTATGATAGGAAACACTTGTAGATCTCAAGTATTTCCTATCAATCTTCGGAAAACAGCAAGAATTCTCCACCAAAATCCACACAAAAACAGGAAAACAGTAGATAATTTGTATTATCTGATGAAATAGAAATGGAAAATAGCAAGATACAGTTGATCCTCAATTCGAGAGGAGGATCGATCTCTCCCAAATCTCTAGACGCCGCTAGAGACCAAAGGAAAACCTAAATCTAAGAGATCTCAAATTTCAACCAAATTCAAAATGCCCTAACCCTAGGAAAGCAAACTATTTAATGCATACAAATCAAAAGGAAATCCCTAAATAGTCCCTACATTCAATCCTATTCGGCTCCGGCAAAGCTTGTGGCATCCGCGGCACGTGCAAGAGGCGGAGAAATTGCGCCTCTGTTCGTGAACCGGTCCCATAGGGACCGGTTGGACCGGTCTAACAAGTTAGTTTGAAATTGTTGAGTGCCGTGCGTTGAATTTTCCTTATAAGTTTTAACATGAACAAAACACTGAACATGCAACCTGTGATGCAGGTGAACAGTGGAGTCCTTAGCGTCTGCACAGCTTTCCTGTCCGGGGAGCCAGCAACGAGGCTTCGGTCACAGGAACTGCAGCAACTTATTGCTGCTCTGCTTGAGTTTATGGCGGTCTGTAAGAGAGCTATACGGGTACATTTCAGATTGATAGGCGAAGAAGATCAGGACTTTCACACACAGCTTGTCAATGGCTTTCAATCACTAACAGCTGAGCTTTCCCACTATATTCCTGCCATACTTTCTGAGCTTTGACAACCATTTTCAGTGCAAGTACATAACTGTCAATATGTTGTGCCATTATTCTTCTAGCAGCTTTCATAATTTTGTCAAATAGGTTGTTTTATAGCCACTAGAACTCGATGATTTATAGCCACTGGAAAGCCCTTGGTTTCTTTTGTAAGATTTTTGTGTTTAACCAAGTTGCTTGAACCAATGGCTTTCGATGGGGCCTGCAGCTCTACTGCTATTTTTCCTTCGCACTTTGCAGCAATTAGTATATCTATTTGTTGGTGCCCATCTCCAAAAGTATATTGAGAATTGCTCTTTTGTCCTAAATCTATGCCCAGTCTTCCTTTAAAAAACAAATGATTTATATCTATGTTGTCTCTTATTTTGAAGATTTCTTGTGATTATATGATAGTTAAAATATTTCCTCCTTCTAGGGAGGCTTCTCACAGCGGAATGTACTTCATACTAAACAATTTAGGCAGGGATTAATTATTTTGTGCGGACGTTGAATGCCGTCCGGAGATCAATCAGAATATACCACATAACCCTTGTGCTCGGTATTGCTTGGTACCGTGGCTCGGTATCGTTGATGTGGCACGTTTTAGGTTGTCTACAAACAGCATTCCGCGTCCAGTCTCCCCGCAGAATAATTTCTCCCAGCTAGGAGGCTCCATTTTAGTAAAGATGGCTACGTAATTCATGCTTGAAATGAATGTTAGGTGGGTTCATAATTATGTATTGAAAAAATATATGTTTCAAGGTAGCATATGCAAAATACATTATTATGTATTACAATCACATGGAGTACAATGCAATGTACATTTATATACATTCTTCTTACACATGTATATGAATTCTTCTCTTTCTAGGAAAGAATTCGGCTATAGAGAATTCGGTCTCTAGTACTCAATCAAATAAGATTTCGTTGGGATGATTTTCTTATTATTTTCTTAAAAATAATGATCAAAAGCTTATCTCAAATGAACCATAGGAAGGCTCATCATATGGATTAATCGTATTCTGCCGAAGAGCTTGTTCAGAGGAATTTTTCATATAACTTGCCGGGAATGTTTAATTATTAGATTAATTCTCTTTTTTATAAGTATGTCATATTTAAATACAAATTAATTTCTAAAAATCTCAAAGTAGTCTTTTATATAATTGGGCAATAAAATAACATTAACTTATCACTCTGGTTTCTCCTTTCTTTTTTCTTCCGTTTTTACTCTTATTTTCTACTTAGTTTTGTCAATAAAGTTATGGTATTGCCCTTTAACAAATTAAATCAAACACCCCTCGAAGCGTGGTCAGCATGGGCAGAAGCTAAGGAGAAAAAATCAAGCTTTGGAATAAAAAGGTGATAGACATATTGGTTAAAATAGAGAGCAAAGACTGAGTGTGGAAACAGCTCCATCTTGAATTGTCAAAAAGAAAGATTATCAAAATCTTTTGTAGGTTGTTAGCAATGGCTTGTGACAACCTTGTTGTTGGTGCTGACAGCAAATGAAGACCATGTTGGCATCGGCAGGTGTTAGCATTCATGGTGATTTTGGCGTTGATGTGGACAGCGTGTATGGACATTGATGTTTAGAGTAATCCTTGGGATTATTTTGGGGCACTGAGTAGCAAAATTTGTTATTGTATGTGGGCATCAAGATTGATGTGACTATGATAGGCATTTATTGTGGATGATTAGTGAAGGAATTATTGATGATGATAGGTGGCGACTGAGATGGGGCGTTAGCTATGGCGACCGAGATGGGGCGTTAGCTGTATCAAGAGATAGTGATATAATATTCGATTGCAAGAGATGACCATCAAACAATATTGGAAGCCAATATTGAGAGATAAAAGTGTCGTGAATCTGATTTCAGAAAATATAATTTTGATGATAGCAAGCATTTCTATTTTTTATGACTGTCTTGCCTACTAACGTTTCAGGTATACAAGATAAAATTGTAAATCGAACCAGCTTAAAATTAGATAGATTAGGACTGAGTCAGCTTGTAATGTACGTTAATTGTCTTTTACCTTTTCTTGAGTTCATCGTAACAATGTGAGTCCTAATGCTAAATAACCTTGCACACTCACACTTGGGAAAAAAATCTGTCTGTTTTGTCAGTGTTTTCTATTTTGATAACATCATCCGGGAGGATCCGTTAAATACAAAAATCCTAATTAGGACATCCTGGTTAAGGCAGCTGCAATTAAGTGAATCATCCGGGACGATATTAGCATCGTCCGAGACAATAGACTCAAATAAGAAAGAATCAGCCGCCATAACCTATTTAGGCATGTGTTATTTTTTGACATCGTCCAGACGATGTGAAATTATGCATAAATTAATCTGATAATTAAAGAAAGCAATTAAGATTTGATTGCTCGATCATATCGTCCTGGACGATCAGTTAAACAAACCTTAGTTCTTCCTGGACGCGGTTTGGCTCCATTTAGGGCGATTTTCTGAACGATATGTTATGTTTTGAACTAATCGTCCCGGACGATCGTGAGATCGGCCTAGATGATCTTGTCAAATTTTATCGTCCATACATCCATTTAGGGCAATGTTCTGGACGATATGTGACATTTTGTACTAATCGGCCCGAACGATCGTGAGATCATCATGGGTGATTAAGTTACTTTTTCATCGTCAAGACATCCATTCAGAGAGATGGTCTGGATGATATTCGACTAATTGAACTAATCGTATAGGATGATATAATATCGTCATGGACGATATGAACAAATTAACCTTTTGATCATTCAGCTCTCCCAAATCGTCTTGACTGATTAAGCCGAATTTGTATTGATCGTACAGGACGATAATGTCGGTTTGTTACAATTAAGATCAAATCCGAAGCTTTTCTATATAAGACCTCTTGTTTTACCCAAGAGTGTATCTTTTGCTGCTATCTTGATTTGAGAGAGCCAAGAAGATAGGGAGAGTAAGGGGGAGAGAGAGGATCTTGTGAGGGGGAGTTTATGAATGGTTTTATAAAGGTTACTCCAAGCAAGAATTTGAGTCATATTCTTCGTTTCAATTTGTTATTGTATGTGGGCATCAAGATTGATGTGACTATGATAGGCATTTATCGTGGATGACTAGTGAAGGAATTATTGATGTAGTGAAATTATGCATAAATTAATATGATAATTAAGGAAAGCAATTAAGATTTGATTGCTCGATCATATCGTCTTGGACGATCAGTTAAACAAACCTTAGTTCTTCCCGGACGCGGTCTGGCTCAATTTAGGGCAATTTTATGAACGATATGTTATGTTTTGAACTAATCATCCCGGACGATCGTGAGAACGGCCTGGATGATCTTGTCAAATTTTTATCGTCTAGACATCCATTCAGGGCAATGTTCTGGACGATATGTGACATTTTGTACTAATCGATCGTTCAATCGGCCCGAACGATCGTGAGATCATCATAGACAATTAAGTTACTTTTTCATCGTCCAGACATCCATTCAGAGCGATGGTCTGGATGATATTCGACAACTTGAACTAATTGTATAGGACGATATGAACAAATTAACCTTCTGATCATTCAGCTCTCCCAAATCGTCTTGGCTGATTGAGTCAAATTTGTACTGATCGTACAAGACGATAATGTCGGTTTGTTGCAATTAAGATCAAATCCGAAGCTCTTCTATATAAGATCTCTTTGTTTTATCCAAGAGTGTATCTTTTGCTGCTATCTTGATTTGAGAGAGCCAATAAGAGAGCGAGAGTAAGGGGGGAGAGAGAGGATCTTGTTAGGGGGAGTTTGTGAGGGGTTTCATAAAGGTTGCTCCAAGCAAGGATCCGAGTCACCATCCCTGGAGGTTCGAGATAGATCTACTTCAGCAATTGATCGAGGTTCTCTGCCTGCTTCAGGAGGAAGCAAAAGGAGTCGGGTTCTCTACCTCACCGGTGTCGGTGGAAAGGAGATTTGTACAGGCTTCTCCGCCTTGCTGTGGGAGCAAAAGGAGAGTCACTGAGTTTAGTGCAATACCCGTGGACGTATGTCAAGTTGATCGAACCACTATAAATTTATGTGTTCTTTATTACTACTTTTTCTGCATTTAATTTCCGCGCTTCGTTTTCTTTGTGGTGAATTTTGGTTTAATTTAAGTTTGTAATTTTGAATGAGAAAATTTTAAAATACCAATTCACACCCCCCCTTAGTTAGGCTTGGGCTAGTTCATAAGAGCTTAACATCCCTAATGGACTTTCAGAAAGTCTAAAGATAACAGACGTTAATATTATTGCATAACAATTGAGGGACAATTGATCGTAGTTGGCCCACAAATAACATCGTTTTTTGTAGACGGTATTCAAGCAACGTCTGTTGGGCAACAAATGTATTGATCATCTTGCAAAACTCTAAATTTTTAAATTCAAGGTCTTCTTCATATGCAGAATAACAATTTATTTAACAAACATTTTAATTATCTTTTGGCTAATTTTTATAATATTTACATACAATCAGTTTAAAGATTTAGAATCATCATCTATAATTGATTGATATTTTATGAAAAATTTAGTGCCTTAATTATATTAAAATTCAACAATTTTGAGCTTATCGGTTTTCTTCGGGTGAGACGCTCATTTCGGAGAAATTATTCTGTGCGAATGCCGAATTAAGCTCTATGTTCAAAGACAAATCAGGCTCAGCCACGCTACCGTGCCATGGTACCCAACCACGATAGAGTCACTACGAAATAAATTTTTACTATGTTTTGATACCAAGCGCACAATAATAGCCGTACTCTTACCGTATGAACATTTTTCACTTCTCAGCGGCAGGTGCGACTTCTCTTTCAGCCTGGGCAGCGCCCATTAGTTTCGTTTTCATGAATCCTCCAATATCCTAATGGATTCCACAACAGGGTCCCGCCGGCGCTCGCCTCTTGTCTCCGGCAACAGGACCCACTACACGAGCTTTTCGGTTAGGCATATCATCAAACACCTCGCAACCGTATTGTCTCTTCTTCTACATCGGCCAAACAATCCCGCTTCCTTCCATTTTCCGCTATCTATCCGGTTTATTACTTCTGCTCTTTTTTGACGCCGAGGTGATTTCCATCCCTGTCATCAAAATGATGCACTTTTTAGCCCTAATCAATAAAATGTCCTCAAAGGTTCGAACCCTACTCATTAATCCATCCGAAAAAGCTACCATTCCTCCACCCACCGAGTTCAAGCGGCGGCGCCGACATGGCTGTCGGCAACTCCGGCTTCAACGAGACCGAAGATTTCGAAGAGTACAACCCCTATCCTTACCAAGGGGGCTATGATATTGCTCTCACTTATGGCAACCCGCTTCCACCCTTCTCAGCCATCTGCTACCCGATGTCAGACGACTCCCCGCATCCACCTCTCCAGCCGAAAGTCCCGGTGGAACCTCCTGCTTCGCCTGAGGCAAGTGACAGAGTTATATCCACTTCTGTTGGGCATGAAAATGACCTACCCGAGGCCGATTATGGCTCTTCTTACGGTTATGGCGGACGGGGTTTTACCTATGCAGATTGCTGGTGGAATCTTTCCGGATCCTCACCCTTCACAATGAATGGTCATGGTGGCTGGAGGGATGATGCGGAAGAGATGAGTTATTGGAGACCGTTAAGGCGGGCTGCTGACTACATCTTTGGATTTTCGCAAGGGTTTGGTGAGAGGAGAATTGGAGTAGATAGTTATGGGATTCCAATCTATGCTTACAAAAGCCATGGGAGTGATACTGTTAATGTGGAGATCCAGCCAGCGAGGACTGAAAAGTTGAAGTATCACGATGATTCTGAAAGAGTGAGCTTGCTAACTTGGTGCATGTTTTTATGTTCTGGGTTATGTTATTGTTCATGTCAGGTAGTGTTTGATACCTGTTACCTTGATTGCAGTCTTCTACTTATAACAATTGGGAGGATGAAAACTATAGATTGGACAGTTCTGCTCATCCCTATCTGAAGCATTTACCTGAAGATTCATTTGATGCTAAAGTTGATCCAGTGAAGTCTGTATTTTCTTGGGAACCTAGTCATCGTGGACGTTATGATGAGCAGTTGTATCCTCAAAGACAATGGGTACTTGAAATCATGATATATGTTACCAAATAGTTTCTCAAGATTTAACAGGATTTATCATTTGGCATACCAAACAGTTTTAAGGATTTAACACAATTTGGATTTGCTAAATCCGGATTTACAAAATTTACTAAATCCTACTAATGTTAAATCCCACTTGTTGCCAAACAGCCCCTGAAGACCGCCTACTTTCTACCCTTTTATTTTACTCTGTAGTAGTGTTTCATAATCTTTTCACTTGGTACTCTTTGTTTGATTTGTGTGTGATGTTCATGTGCATAGGTTCCCTTGTCTTATGCTGAGAACGGAAATCTGGAAATGGCCTATGATAAACACTACTATAGGGGTGCTCAAAATGTTCAGCTAGAGGCAGTTGAGAATTCATTTGAGAAATTGACCTATCATGAGACCTCTCAGGAATTTTCTTATACAGATTCTTACTCGGTGCGTATACATTGCAGCTTATCAACTTTGTACAACCATCTAAACACGTTCAATGTTTCTGATAGCCTTAATTCTTTTCTCTTGCTCGCAGGGTTCATCTTATAGCATAAATGGAGATGAGAAAAATGCATTTACTAATGCTTACAATGACTATGAAAGGCAGTATTATCAGCTGTCAAGTGATGTAGAGCTTGAACCTTACAAACCAACTTGGACCCGATACCCTGGATATTACGGGACTTCTGAAGATGCCTTTGCTGGTTCCCCTCCTGTGAGAATTCGTTACCCATCTTGTTTTTTGTATTATATATCATATAGGCACAACGTGTTCTGGAAGTATGTATTAAATTTTGTTCTTTAATGCCATTTCTAAGTTTGAATAAGTATTATGTTAATATTTTCGTCTTCAATAGTTAGAACTTCCATTTTCCTTTGGATTTTTATATTGAAACTTTTCATTTTTTTTTAAGATGGTCATAAGATTTTACTCTAATTTAATATATGTTAGGATGGCATTGAGTAGAACTGGTTTTTAATTATCACAAATAGTTATTGACTTTAACACTGTCATTGACAGGTCCTAAGCCCTGTATGAGAAAAGTTGAGTTTGTGTAAGGTAATCGACAGCCAGTGTAAAACTTGTCGAATAATCAAGACATGAATTCTTTAATACATTATATTAATGCAAGGGCATTCCCTGGAAGCGCATGTTGTATGGCTTGAATACAACGAGAAATGTACAAGGGTCATTGCATCGGCGCTTGGGTGCAATTTTAAATAGGCAATGGTTCCCCTATTATGGATGGATGTTGGCAAAGAAGCTAGTCCATGAAACTCAGATAGAATATTGGAATGCAGGTTCACTTACAGGCAAATTAATAGAATTAATTGATATAATGATTCATAGGAAAATAAATATTTTATGCATTCAGGAAACTAAATGAGTTGGAGAGAAGGCTAAAGAGATTGATAGTTTAGGATTTAAACTTTGGTATTCTAGTATAAACCGTATTAGAAATGTTGTATGTGTGATTATATATAAGAGTTTGAAGGATAATATTATAAAAATTGATAGAATTGGAGATAGAATTATAGTTTTGAAGATTATTGTTGATAATAAGATTGTTAATATTATAAGTGCCCCTCAAATTATTTTGGATGTGTTTAAAATTAAAATTTTGAAATGCCTTAGAAGAATTAATTCAAAGGATTCTTCTTTAAAAAAAGAATTTTTATTAGAGGAGATTTAAATGGATATGTTTATAGAGAGGTAGAGGATTTAAAAAATATTCATGGTGGCTATGGATTTGAAGCGACTAATGATGGTGGTAAAACTAGATTAGATTTTGCTCTAATTTATGATTTTGTAATTGCTAATACATTATTTAAAAAAAGAGATGAACATCTCATCACTTATAAGAATTGATATAGTAAAATTTAGATTGACTATTTTCTTATAAGAAAAATATATCATTTAGATTGCAAAGATTTTAAATTTATTCCGAGTGAAATTTTATTGCACCAAACATTGCTTATTAATTTTGAACTTTAAGATGAAGGGGTAGAATATGAAAAATATAGTAAAACGTTATTCTAGAGGCATTTAAAAAATACTAACAGAAATATTTTTGAGAGTAAGATTCGAGATATTAAGATTTTGTCTGTGCATGAGGAAGCGAATGTTATGTGGGTCTAAGAAAGCAATCTACGCTGCAAAGATTTTAGCTTTTAATAATTTATATAGTAGATTATATTCTAAAAAAGAAGAAAGATATATGTATAAGTTAGTCAAACAAAGAGATAGAAGTAGTAAGTATTTAATTCAAGTGAAGTGCATTAAGGATGAAGATCAAAAAGTATTTTTTTTAAAGAAAAGGATATTCAATAAATGTGGATGAGATGTTTTGCTACGCTTTTTAATGAAGATTGTGAAAATACAATTGACTTTAGCGATCTTAGCCCTATAAATTAACATATATATATAGCAATTGACCTTATATGCTTCTTTAGATCTACTCAACAGTGAAATTTATTTCTTTAGTATTTCATTCATCGCTTTTCCCACGGTATTGTTTTGCACAACTTAATCGACTTATTAGCTCCTATTTTTCCTAGTTTCAGACATTGGATTACTCTGAGGTTTACAATGAATCATCTTCTCCTGGATCTGCATGGGTGAGTAGGGAATTTTGATGGTGACAAGTTACATTGATCCACATATCTTGCTGCCATATTTAGTTATAAACTTTAATATAACAAAATGTTGATGTTTTTAGTACAATCTTATTTTTCTTTGCATATAGCAAACTTCTTCATTTGATAAATTGGGCAAAGAGGGCAAGGTTCACAGTTCAGAGTATGCAAATCAGACACACCATGATGACCATTCCCTTGAACTAGAACCTTTCAAATCAACATGGATGCTGAATCCCAATTATTATGGCAGCTATGAGGGTATTTCTACTCAATACGAGCAGGTTTATTTTCAATTAAGAAAATAAGTCTATATTTTTAACCCTAGATTGCATTTTATAGCTTGTATGCATCGATATATTTTGTCAATTGGTTTGTTCAGAGTTTTGGTTTTAGTGCACCGGTATGCACCCTTTCATGTTCTCTTTTGTCGTTTTATTTATTCTTTCTATCACTCAGCAGCACACCACCTCATACCTCTTTTTCTCTTGACACCATTTCTTATCCAACTGATTCTATTAAGGTGTGTTGGATGACATTGATTTCAAGTTTATCTGAGATATGATATAAATAAATCCAATGCGCTATGTGCAATATATGAGCCTTCACCTTCTATTTAAAAAAAAAATTTGTTTAAATCTCTGCTAGTTGATCGAACCATAAAAGCACTCACAATTTACATGCCATAAACTAAAAAACCTGTGATTCAGTCAAGTACACCATCCAAAAGATATGATGGTTATTCTTTAAGATCTCTCCAATCATATTAACTCTTTATTGTGATTGTGTTTGTTTAACATTTGAATAAGCTATGTCACATCTTTGAAAATAACCAAAAGAAGTTTTAGTCTTTTGATTTGTCAAATTGTTAGATGGATTAATTCAACCCATAGGAAGTGGTTGTGATGATGATGGTTGTTGATAGGTTCTTGTCAGCAGTAGAGATAGGTGACATGATGGGATCTCATCGCTGATGCCATCAATGCACAACAATGAGATCGGGACTACAATCGTAGGTTGTTGCAAGCTATCTCAGAGTAAAGTAATTGTCATGCAACCAGGGATCAAGTTGGACAAGTGGACACAACTATGAAGGCATGAGGTGTAAATGGGAATGATTCGTTCTGACTCTAATATCTGATCATGTGGACGAGAGTGATGAAGGGAATAAGGAGAGGAGAGTTGGAAGAGAAGAGAGAATAACAACCAAAGTCTACCGGTAAAGAGATAGGTGTTCAATAAATATCTTTGATTTAATTTATGATGAAATGATCAATTTTAAGCCCTAAATCCTTCGATAAGATCGAATTTTTGAATTCAAATCTAAGTCTATCCAATCAAAGTCCAACCATAACAATTCAAATGCAAACATAAAGCTATCCATAAAAAATATAAGTTATCTAATAAATTAAATTAGTAAATTTAAAATTTAAACTTAAGTCTAAACTCTGGTGCATCAAATATCCTGCTCTTCACTGAGGATCCTTGCTTCGTAAACCTCACTATTAGAGTCAAGTTATTAATGAAGGTTAATGGGAATAGTTTGTTCTGAAGCCACTGAGGAAGGCAGGGCAAGATAGCAACACTCATGATGAAAGTTAGAGGATCCAAGAGGGTAATTACCTTGAGAGACATGGAGGGTCTAGCTATTTTTGAGACTAAAAATTAATTTCTGGGTGCCAAGATCAAGCCCGTCAAGCTCTCAAACCAAGATCAACAATGACCTCCTAACTATGATGCACAGACACTGGCATGGCGACATGAACATGACACGACACGGACATGGGACGCAGCTTTTTTTAAAATATAGGACACGGGTACGGCGCGGACACGACATTACATTTTTTATATAGTGTATAGTTATTAATGTAATATCATATTAGAAATGACAACCAATAATAAAGAATGACATGATAACTTGTCTAGCTTATAATATAAAATATTTAGTACAAAATGTCTAGTATAACCATAAAAATATAAGCAAATAACTATTTACTACAACATCAAGCATTCAAGCTTCAACCTTTAGGATTAGCTTCAGAGGTTTGTTTTTGGCCTTCAATATCATCATCATTGAATATCATTGCTTCTAACTCTAGTTCATCTAAGGAAAGATTTGTAATAGTTCATTGGATATCATATAATGAAAGTTGGTTCTTCTTTGTATCTATTTACTTCTCTAGTTTGTTAGTTCTCTCTCATAATATTTCTTTAACCCTAATCTAAATCACAAAGAATATATATATTTACTTCTATACTTCTCTAGTTCTCTCTCATAATAGTTTATTGGATATCATATATTAGTCTTTATTCTATTAATCTTAAATCTTTTATATTCTAAATATTTTTTATATCATTCTAACTTTTCACCTATTTCAACAAAACCTATCAACTAGAATTACAATAAACATGCACATAAAGATTTTTCAGACATAATCAAAATTCTTCTTATTTCATGTCACTAAAAATTACAAACACAGGTAGGCATAAAGGTTTTCAATAATCATTACTGCCTCTAAAAAAATGATCCATTCTTTAATAATTATGCCTTTTAATAATCGTATTGATGCATATATAAGTGAATGTGATGTTTTATTTTATTTAGTAAATATAAAAATATAAATTTTTTATAATTTAAAATAATGTTATCATAAAAAATTAAGACACGCGTGTCCCAGCTGTATCTGACATGTGTCCCAATCATATCGGGTTAAAGTTAAACATTATTTAATCAGACACATGTCTGTCGTGTCCAACACTGCATTCTCTCTTCAAGATGTGTGTCAGTGCATCATAGCCTCCTAGGTAGTGTGATCGTTTTACCATTTTAGAAACCTCAGTCACTACCTCAAAAGCCATAACTAGGGTTGTAAATGAATTGAACCGAGCTGAGTATGTGTGTGTTCATTTTTGAGTTCGTTTATTATCAGTTTGTTCAAGTTCATTCCAATTTGATTCGAGCTTTTGTGTTTGTGTTCAAGCTTGGTTCGTTTAAATTATGGGTGTTCATGTTCAGTTCATGTTTGATTCATGTTCTATTCATTTCATGCTTATTGAGCTTTAAACAAATGAGCCTTATCGAGCTATAAACGAGCTCTACTTCTAGATGTATATTAACTTAGCAAACGAGCCTTGTCGAGCTTTCTAACAAATAGTAACATCAAGCTTGTTCATGATTATATATAGCAAAGTTTTTAAAACTATCAAACAAGCTCATTCACGAACATATCGAATGAGTATTCTTGAGCTTCCAAATCAGCTCATTCACAAACAAACGATTTATGATTCATCTTATATTTATTTAGAGAGCAGATTGTTCATGATTTTAGGCTGATGCGGGAAACAAAAATAAATTATTAAGTGATTTTAGACAGGATTAGTAAAAATAAATTATCAAATTTAACAATTTGTATTTTGTTAAACTCTAATATAATTCTAATCGAGCTTCTTAGTCGAACTCTAATCGAGTTTTTTAACGAGCTTGTTCTCGAGCATTAAATGATAATGTTCATGAACCTAAATGAACTGAACTTCAAGTTGTTTAAGCTCGTTTATTTAGCTATCGAGTATTTATCAAAAATATTCAAGCTCGTTCATTTACCTTATCAAACGAACTTGATCGAGCTCTTATCGAGCCGAGCCACGAGTAGCTTGTCAAACGCTCGTTTCATTTGCAGCCCTGGCCATAACCTCAATACAAATCCTAATTGGCCAGTTGAAGGTTAGCAATGGGGAAGAATATGTCAACTATGTTAAGAGAGAGAGAGAGAGAGAGAGGGAAGATTCCAAAAGCCATTCATTTGAATGAAATCCCTAGTTTTGGATTAAGTCCCTGATATGGAAGGTATGAAAACTCTTTAGCAGGAAGCATTGACAATAATGAAGATGATGATGGTGCATCTTTCCCTAGAATTTATCCTTGATCGAGATAAATTATAAGCAGAATCACTAAAATGGAATCACATCACAAAATGCAAGGGCATTTGATGACGAATTTGAAGTCTAAGATGCTATTCTTCTTCATTTCAAAATCTATTTCTAGAGAGGTTTCTTATATGGCTGGTTTGTATTCCCGCTTATAACGACTCAATTAAAGCCCATGCAGAAGTTGAGGATTGGGTGCCAAAGATCAAGTTGCCAACTATTGAGGGAACAGCCGAGAACAATTAAATGAACCTTGAAACAAAATATGATTGATATTGCTGATCAAAATTTACTTGGATAAGATCCACTCAGAGGTCAGAAGTCCCCTAAGGTAACATTGAATCTACTCCTTGGCATGAGGAATAATTCCCATCGGCCACAAATGTGAAACAATACTAAAGTAATGGATGAGGCATTTAATTAGAGAATCATTTTGATGGGGAGATGATCGTTCATTATAAAGAGGAGATCGTTCCTGTCACCATTCGTTGTTGAATAAAAACATCTAAGCATTAAATGTTCAAAAAAAGGGCGTTTGCAATAGTTCAAAGCACAATGCTTCCTTTTAGTCTTTCAGTCTTGCTCTCTCACATCAAAGGATATTTGCAATAGTTCAAAGGGCAATGCTGTAATATCCCAAACTGGTGTTATCTGTTTCTGTCATTTTGGTTACCTAATGTTAAAGAAGACTAAGGGAGAGGTCGGTTCCACAGGTTGTCACTTGGAGTCGAGGAGGACCTAGGGGACCAAATACGTCGTTTGAAGTTGTGAAGGGAGTCAAATAAGTTTTCGATTTTGTCGCTTGATGGCAAGAAGATGAAAGGTTTCAGTCTCTTTAAAATCGAAAGAGGGAAAGTGCAGATATAGAGTGTGAGTGAAGGCGAGTTAGGACACATACTGTAGCAACGTAGGTAGAGTTGTGCATGAGCCAACGTCCGACGGAGACTGCAAAGTTGTGCGCAGCTGGTTATCATGACTCTGTGGATAGGAGTTAATATATTGAGAAATATGATATCATAAAATATCATGATAACAAAATTATTTAAAAAGTTATAATAATTAGACTATGATTTTTCATTAAATTTTAAATTAAAAAGATTAGTAATAGATATGTAGAGAGAGAATGAAAGAAAGAGCATATATTTTAAAATTCAATAATATATGAGATTTTAATAAGTAATTAATTTATTATTATATTAAGTAATAAATTATGTTTAAAAAGAAAATTTTAAATATTGAATTAGATAATTTACAAAAAAATTATCATTGATAATAAGGTCTTTATATGTGTGTTAAATCTATCAAGTCGGAGTATAGAGTAAGAGTAAAATATCAAAATATCTAGATTTGAGGTGAGTACTTATATTTCTATTTTATGGAGCTTTCTCTAAACTAAATTTTTATTGAATCAATTTTTATTTGTTAAATTGATTGTTGTTGAGAAACTCATACTTGATTTATCATTCTCAATGAATAGTCATATTAAAATTATTGATAGCTAGCATGATATTTTATTTCATGTATTATAGAAAATTATTGAATGATATATGAATGAAATAATTAAATAGAAATGCTTGTATGTGCATATTGATTGAAATGAAAAAGTTTTAAAAAAGGAAATGAAAATAGAAGTATCGTAATTGGAACTATTTAAACAGTATCTCTTGTAATGGTTGTATTAGTCGCAAAAATTTATAAGACATGGTATGTGTATAAGCATAATATAATATTTATGATCATTTTTAAAAAATAAATTTTAAGTAGTTATTATTGAATAAGGTTACTTTATTTCATAATTTGTAACAAGAATATATATTATTCAAAATGTCATAGTATTACTATACTTTTAAAGCATAACGTGCTTGCTGAGTTGTGTTATAACTCATTTATATTATTGCAGACATAAATGGGTATTATCTGAAGAAATTTGAATGAGTGATAGAGGTGAAAACTAATATTGTAGATGCAACGTTTCGAGATAAAGTTATTTATCTGAAACAGTTATAATAGTTTACTTTAAAATATATTCAACATTTTAGTGGCTCTTTTAGCATTTTTAGAAATAGTTTATTACTAGAAATTTTTGCGAGCAAAATTTTAATTAATTGTCAGACCAGTTGCTCCTGCCTTATAAATTTGAGTCTCAGGGCCGGATTGTGACCAATGTGTCGCTTTCATTCTCTCAAACTTGCTCTCTCACATAGCAAAGTATCTCTCTCGATTCTCTACAAATCTACAAGCTTTGGGATGGTAAAATCTCCACATTCGTGGAGCTTGCTGGGATTTTCTTTTTTTAGTGCAGAGGTTGTTTCCAATGAAGACGATTTAGGTAGGTAAGGGAGGGTTGGTTTTACGAATGAGTGTTACGATGTTGCTGACATGATGGAAACAAGAACATGGGTGAGCTGATGGGGTCATACGGTATGTAAAAACTCGGTTTTGCAAGGAAGGAGATAAGTCGTAACATTGGTTAGCCACATTTGCTTATGATTTTGATAGGAAGGCCCAAGGAGGGCTGGCTGAACCGGTCCATCTAGTACCGATTCAGGTATATCAAAGGTGGGCCAAGGGTGGGGCGGAACTAGGGAAAGAGAGAGAAGAGGGGGGCGGCTGGTTTGTGGGGCCCACACACTAATTAGTGATGGGTTGGAGGGAAAATTTGAAATTAAGGGTTGTTTAAGGAATTAGTAATTGTCCTTTTGATTTAATTACCCTCTTCTTTCTAGGGTTAGGGCTATCGTGAATTTGGAGGCTAAATTTGAGATCTTTTGTTTTGCTTTTTGGGCTATAGGCTTTGGCTAGAGATTTGGAGAGTTGAATCTTCCTCTCGAATTGAAGATTCATTGTATCGGGTTGTTTTTTTTTTCATTCTACTATTGAATTTCAAGTTTTTTCTCCCTGATTTTTCCACTGGTTTGGCAAAAACTGCTGTTTACGAGCAGAATTTCAGTTGTTGTCCACTAATGTGGGCTGTTTCGTAACAGATTTTTTAGTTCTTTTTTTTATGAATTCATTATTTTGCAAGAACTAAGGAAATTCAAAGGATTAGTTTTAAAAAATTGGCTGGTAATTTGAAAGAATTAGCCAGATTACTTACCCCTATTTAAATCCAACTTTATTCTACTTAATCACTCTAAAAATCTGACGCTAACATGATACATTTAAATAAGCATTCAAAATTTACCTCTTTTGATACTTTTCTTGGATTCTTGATCCTCCTTGATTAATATTTTTGAAGGATCAACTCATTTTTTATTTACAATTACCAATAGCTATATGGAAGTGATGGGAGTTCGAAATTCCACAGGATGACGATGGATCATATGGTAGCGCTTGGTGAAAAAATACATGACAGATTGCCATCGTGGATCATATTCAAGTAAGTGATGGCCATTTTCCTTCTCATGCCGAGTTAAGTCTTATCATGACTAGTAAACTTGTTTCTTTCCAGTCTGCTCAAAGTTATTGAACTGGAATGTTCAATTAATGTTCATAAACTGCTTGTTCCTTCCTACATTAACGATATCCAATAGAAGAAGTTCTTAACTTTTTCTTCTATGATAGATTTTTTTGTTATGCTTTTTAACTTTTGGCTTGAGTGCGAATTACTGCATCACAGCAAGCTTGCTGAATTTAAGCAACCAAAATTTCTTGTAATTTGTTTAGTTTATATGGAAAACGTAGTCATGATGCCATGAACTATATTGTACAGTACCAATATCTAACAATCACCTATTTACTAAAAGGAATAATGAGGTTAGTTTTTTCTTCATGCACTTGTCGTTGGCCTCATATCATCATCATTAGAAAAGATAGCTTCTTATTCTTGCTCATCAAGAGATTGACTCTAATTTCTAAAATTCTTATATCATTCAGGGAGTCAAATCTATCTCCTGTATCATCTCATATCTTGTTATTATCTTTCATATATTTTAGGATTTTTTAGAACAGAATAAGAAGATTAATATGCACATAAATTAAATCTTCATGAGTAATTTTGTTGCTCTTTATATGCAGTGTTCGACATATGTTGGACTCGACACACGTTGGGTACGGTTGTTATATTTCAAGTTCACTGTACAATATGTTATATTTTCTAATTAATGTAGGTTCTTAAATAGCTCTTTTATTGGTAAATTTAGTGCTATAGTTATAATTTGTAATTTGGTTTAATTGTGTTATTTTCTATTTTATGTAATGTTATGTGCATTGTGCAATATACAATAAAGGAGTATGAACTCTATTGATGATGAATTTAAAAGTGGCAAAACTTCAACTTTTAACCCATAAGAGAAAGCCATTGTGAAATTGTATTGAAGTTAGGTATAATGATACCTATTTATCTTGTTATTCACTTCACGTTTACTCAATTCATTATTTATTGAGACTATAATAATTTTAATTTGTATTAACCGCATATTAATTTTTTTATTTTTTAAAGGAAAAAAAATTAATTCATCATCACATTAATCTAATATGATTTTAATTTTATTAAAAGCAGAAGAAAAGATTGGAGGTAATTGTATGTGGCTGGCAAGATTAATGTTTTATTTGAGACAGTTTTTTAATATAAAAATTTTTAATTCAAAAAATTTTGTATTAAAAAATTATTTTTTAAAATAAAACCTAAAGCTCATTTCTTATTATTTTTTAAAATAGTTTTTAAGAATGGAAACTAAGTTCCATCAAATTTCAGATAAATATATACTGGAACTCACCAAATGCACCTATGGTGCTTTCCTTTCTCAGTAGTTGAGAGTCATGGGATTTTAGGTAGGAGCAAAAGGGTAGAACACAGGTTTGAGGGGATTAGCTATTTTCATATTTTTAAATTTATTATTTTCTTTTTATAAATTTTAATAATATGTTGAATTGTTATGATTAAAAAATAAAATAAAAAATATATATTTGAATTAAGTAATATAATTAAGATAGTTATATAATAAAAAAAATAAAGGAATAAATACATTTTAAGAAAATAAATGTCATTGATAATTGCTCCAAAATATGATTGTCATTGAATTTAAATTATGTTATTAACTTTGAATAACAATTAACAAATTAAGACCCTTAAAAAATAATTAACCTATAGCAAATAAAATAATTATAATTAATTTTATTCTAATTATTTTAATAATTTACAAACAGCCATGGTGATTAATAATTTAAATTTTAAATAAATCGTAATACAACTAATTAATCATTTAATATTTATTACATCATAACTATCTAAATTAATATTACCTTATAAATTAAATTTTAATTAATTTCAATGAATCAAATCACTCACAAATCTAATTCAAATCCCTTAAATCCAATAATCTTCCTGTTTATCAACTTATATTTTTTTAATTTGCTTCTCTTTTTTTTTTACATAATGGCAAAAAATATTCATATAATCAACCCCACCTAGTGGGACAAAGGATTGATGTTATTATTGTTTCTCTTTTTTTTACACCCATCATCCTTCTAATTTTCTTGTAAAATTTCATATTCATTTATATCACAAAAAAAAAACTATAAATATTTCAGATTTAACATCTGCCTAACTGCTCTCTGTTTTTTTTTTTTTAATCTTTTGAACCAATTAAGACATGCATACATATAAATGAAATCAAATACATAAATTTTAAACCTGCATATAATTCTCAAATTTTTTTTTTTTTACTTTTGAGCTAACTAATTAAGAAAAATCATACACACGTCACATACGTAAGTTTCGAACGTAAAATCTCTTGATTGATAGCCAAAAGATCAAGATGAGCTGCGTACAATTCTCATATTTAATACTCTGTTTGTGCTAAAACTGAAATCAAATACATAGAATATTAAGCTTTCTGCACCTCTATTTGCAAACTATCAACTCTCATAATAAAATGCATTTGTTAGATCAGTTATCAGTACAGAAGAAAAAAAAAAGTCATAAACTGGTAGAAAAAGCGAACTATTTAAACTATACATGAGAGCAGAATTGCCAAGAAATTATCAATCAGCTCACAAGGCAAGGAGAGCCTTCACAACTGACATAGAAGACTAGTAATTTAGCCACAATGGAAGCATATCTAATCTTCACATGAAAGGTTAATGCTGTGTTGGAAGAGTAGGATTCCTCTCCACTGATTCATAATGAACAACAAAATTTTCCTACATATCAACCAAAAGCACCATTAAATGCAAGCAACTAATAAGCAAGTATGAATTTAAATTTCAATGATTTTAATATAGGCTTCATTTGGGACAGTTTTCTTTCTGTTTCTTAAACCAGTTTTTTAATACAAATTAAAAAAAAAATAATTTTTTTTTTACTAAAAAGCTGCTTTAGAAAGCAATAAGAAAAGCCTTAAATAGATCTAAAAACTCGTAAAAATATTCGATTCCCGATGAAACTCGCTAGTTTTTCTAAATGTAACTTCACTAAAATGTTTGAATAGTCCTAAAATGTCTCTTCAAGTATATTGTAACAAAGGCTCAATTATCTCAACTAGATAAACCTTTTGATTTGATACTATAAATATATTTTTAATATTTAATAATAAAAGAAATAACCAAGATCAAAATAGAAACGAAATTCCTAAAGTAACATAAGAATAAAAAGCTTATCATGCAGTGGCAAGGCAAGCTAGAAGAACACCTTCCGAATAGTTTCCCATGTGCTCGGATCAAAGCAAAAATATGCCCCTCGCTCATAGGTATGGGTCTTGACAAGAGGCTCCATGTTAGGAATCCCAGTGAACCACAATTGAGCTTCTTTGTGGTAAAACCAACCCCGCAAATATCTGCAAAGCAGCTTAGTTATAAACAAAATGTGAAACATGAAAAGGTAACCAAGTAAAGCTAGCCACAAAGATCCCTAACTGATAGAATTGTAGCTGTTGCTTTATTTGAATTTTCAAGGTTTTAAGTATTTTAAAATAGTATTTATTATTGGGTGTTTATAGCATAATGAAATTGGTCACTATCCAAATCAGTCATCAGTTATTTCTATCCATTCCTGGCTTACACATCAAGCTAGCTAAACATGATAGAAGCTCTTAATATAATACCTATTTATTTATAAATATAATTTGTCACAAATATAAATCTCCCGAATGACATGACTTCTACATTATTATTATTTCAAATGTTCTCTATGGAGTATTTCTCACCGTAGCCATCTCTTGATAGGTTGGGTCAAAATGACGAAAAATTATTATATGTGGATACCGGACGGCGTTCGGAGACCAACCAGAATGCGTTACGTCATTTTTTTGTTCATTACCGGGTGATGTGGCGCATTCTAGTTGATCTCCGGACCATCCGGTGTCTGCACATAATAATTTCTCCGAAATGACAGGGTGGAAGAGAGTTAAAGCGAAAGAGGATGTTGACAACTATGAGTAATTGTTGGGTAGCGTGACCAATAGCATGAGAGCTATCAGGTGAAATTTTTTGAATGTTAATGATTGATATTTCAAGAACATTTCGACATTTTCTTTGGTTTTGAAGGGCTCTATCCAAGTTGAAGTAAATTGTAATGTAGCTAAGAAGTTAATAATTTCCTTGTGTTTCAATTCATTATGTACATTGTGTACCAACTATGAGGATGGAGACAACATATTGAGCGTTACCTCATGGTGCCAAGCATGGGCACCAATTCATGACTCGACAGGTCACTTGGGCATCGAGTCGAGGGAAAGACTCATGATGCCAAGTAATTTAAAGAAGATGAACTAAACACTGACATCTTGCGACACCCACGGCGGGTCAGTGCAGACCCAATTCCGGCAACTTGAATGACAAAGTTCTTCAGGATGTGATAATATCTAATATGAATTATTATTTGAGCTTATGAATATACATGAAGAAATAAGCTAAAGAAAAAATAAGCTAAAAATGCTTATTAGGGACCTTTGTGCTCATATTATGGAAGTGGTGGATTGAAACCCTATGAAAACCACTAACAATGAATTCCTAACTTTCTTCCTATTTTAACCAAAATGATTAAATGATAGAAATGAAACTGATGTATGTCATGACTATTGAGCACAATATATTAGGAGTTCAAGTTCAACTTCATTCCTTATGGTGATTTGTCCTATATTGCGTGGCAGTTAGGTTTAGCTTTTAATGAGCCCGAGTTAAAAAATTTCATAAAATTCAAGCCATCAGTTGAACCTTTTAGAATTCCCTTAAATTAGAGTAATATAACACCACTATTATCGGATTTTAACTAAATACTTAACAGCTCTCAAGATAATCAAGGTCTAGTGTGTCAACATAAAAGCGCCACCCCATAATTAAACCCAACGCCCACCAACTTTGTGTATGATTACTAGGAATCATTTGTCCAAGAAACTTTAATCCACCATTAATCTTCAGCTTAATGTTATTTTGGAAGAGGCAGTGTAGCTACAGCGAATCATATCCCACATAGAAGGGATGTTTTATATTGTACGGGTATAGATTCAATCTTTTCTTTTATTATATTTGAATTTGAATCAATTCGAATTCGTACAAGTTCCAGAAGGTTTTGATTTCAATAAACAGTCCGCGAATACAAGAGTTCATCCCTCTTTGAGGTTAATTTCATTAAAAATGAATTTTCAGGCATATTTCTTCAAATAAATATTATATAGCGGTGATGAAATATAAAAGTCAAATTTCCCCCAATAAAAATCTGGAACCAAACATAGCAAACATAAAGATTGAGTTCAGCATGCCATAAGATTCGGCAGACTACAGAATTAATGTCAGGAACGAGCATGAAAATAAAGAAACAGAAGGTGATAAAGCAAAAAAAAAAATACTGTGTGCAATGTGGATAGGCACACAAAATATTTTCATATAAGGGTGCAGCCTGCAGAAGCTTACAGTTCATAAGCAGCATATATTTGAGCCTCATCCTTTGGCATGCTGCACAGAAGAAAAGACTAAATAAGAAAAACTAACAGAGGGTTATTTTCATTAGTTGACTATAGCCTCTTCCTCTTTTTTTAACTCTTGTTGTGCAGATAGATTGGTAAACTGGTGCTGTTGTTACTTTTGCTCATAAAATGGACAAGACAACTTACACAAACCTGTAAAAGATATAAAACAGCGTTCCCAACTGAAACTTTGAAAAATGTCTTTGCTGTATCCATAGCAGTAGCTTTAGGCAAAGTAATAAGTAAAATAAAACGCCTATTTGAAAGATCTTGGGCAAAAAGCTTACCTGAAGTGGGGGAGGCTGTTTGGCATAGTAGCATGAAGGGACACTACATTCAGGCTCCCCTTTCAAGGGCTCATCAGACCATGGGGAACTAAATTTCTTGTGAAGATTATCATTTGAGTTTAAATTTAATCCTAGGGTGGTTAAATCTATCCCCAAGGCAAGGGAAGTTAGATCTGGATTATTCTTCCTTATGACACTTAGCAAACCAAGCAAACCAAATCGATCTGTTGGAGTTTGTGATACTTGCAAAGATTTCAGACTCTGATCTCTATATGAGTGAGCAACAGAAGACACCTGTTGCAATTGTTGCTGAGATTGATTCTGGGCGTGTTGGTATTGCTGAAAATTCTGGTCATATGATCCAATACTGGAAGCTGGACTTGGAGAGCTCGATGGTCTAAATCCAATGCTAGGGAGACCATTGGGTTGAACCTAATAAACAAAACAAATGAAGGGAATTATTCAATTAAGACCAAACAACGGCATAGCATTCTTAAGCTATTGGCTACTAAACAGCAATGAATAAAATAATTCACATCAAAGTGATACTTGAGACTGATAGCTCCCATTTGAGGAAGAAAACAAGTCAGAACCATGCAAATGGAGAAGCTCTTGATTGTTTCCGGGTTTAAAAGTAACACCAGCAGTACTAGCAGCAGTAGCAAGCTGCTGTTGTTGTTGACGAGCAGATGGGTAAGCACCTCCCAAGTTGAAACCGACTGACCTTGCCATCTGAGCAGAAAAATGAATCTTCAGAACAATAACAACAATATTAACACCACCTGACACAACTAACTACAAGCAGGAAACCTGTCTTACAGGGAAATGTTGCGATTGAAGCATTGAGACATTTTCATGAAGTTGTTCCTTCTGATGCAAATCCATGGAAAAATCTGAGCTACCACCTAAAAATCAAGGTTAAAGTATATGTCAACACTTTTGTGTATGAAATAATAGTCAGAAAATTGGGAAAATTCAGTTTGCAACACCTTAAAATTAAATTAAATTTAAAACAATACAATAGCATGATCAGGCAATCATAATTTAGAAGAAATAAAAACATTGCTTACATAATGAAAAAAGAAGCAGTTACCATTCAGAAATTTATGACATTACCAAGGAGGTTATGTAGATGAATACCAGGTAATTCAATTTATTGCGGCAGCATTAACATAAAAGAAAATTTTAAGTACCTTTAAATCCAGGTAATGCTGGAAAATCTTCATTTTGAATGCTAAATTCCTGGTTCTGTTGGACAATAGAGCTGATTCCTTGCTTCCTTAATGAACCTGCGCCTTAGAGAATTAGTTTGTGTTTGATTACATTATAATCAACAAAGATATAACGACTATATTTTCATGACTAACCCAATTGCCCTTGTGGCCCTCCAGAAGAACTTGGTCGCCCTGTTAACTGAGGAAAGTCATTCATGTCAAATGGAGAACTATCATTCGAATTGATATCATTGAGTATACCCATGGAGGTTAATGCGCTGTTTCCTGCTTGTAAATGATTCTGAGATAACAGTCCTCCAGAGGAAGGATAAGAATTCCCAAGCATGCCAAGCATTTGAGGCGCTGCTAGTTCAAGGAAAATTTACAAAGATAAGGCAAAAAAAAAAAAATATATATATATATATATACATAGGCCAATTCAGTAAACTATCAGTTGGTAGATTGTACTCCCATCAACTTCAAGAGTTTTAGTTATTAATGCCTTCTTAATTCATAAACTAAGACAAACAGAAAGTTGGTCATAATGACAATCAAACATTAAACTAAAAAAAAAGAACTTTTAAAAAAAATACTGCATCAAAAAAAAGCAAAGCCAGAGAACAAAGAACGAAAAGCTCTTTTTAACCATATATATTCTACCTTGAAGATAAAACGCATTGCTATAACATCATAGAATGACATGCTTTAACATACTGGGAAAAGATTTATTTTCAGTTTTCTCCAGCATCTTAACATGTAGCAATGATATTCACATACCTCTAAAAATATTTAATTCAGTAGTTTCTTCAATTATACTAGAAAATTACACAATACAATTTACAGAAAAAAATATTAAATATATAAAACGTGGAAACTCAAGCAATAAAATAAATAAAAGGTTAAATTAATGAAAAGGTAAGAAAATAAAATAAATGATAACCACACAAAATTAAAAAAAAAAAAAACATTTAGAGTCATCAAAATTAGTCATCAAAATTAGTATTGGATTGAAGTATTGACACACTCTCAAGAGTAGCACAACAAGTTGACTAAATAATGAACTCTCCAGAGCATTTCTTTTGGAATTTTATCATATACTTTCTCTAAATCAATAAATATCATATACATATCCTCCTCACTTTTGCATCCTATGATGCACCGACACACCTCTTGAAGAGAGAGAATGCAGTGTTGGACACGTGTCGGACACGGAAATGTGCCCGACATGGCAGACACGTGTCCGATTAAAATAATATTTAAATTTAACAAAATATGTATGGGTCACGTTTCGAACACGGTTGGGACACATGTCAGACACGGCTGGGACACGCGTGCCCTAATTTTTTTATGATAAAATTATTTTAATTATAAATATATGATATCCAATGAACTATTATGATAGAAAACTAGAGAAGTATAGAAGTAAATAGATACCTTCTTTGTGATTTAGATTAGAGGATAAAGAAATATTATGGGAGAGAACTGGCGAACTAGAGAAGTAAATATATACAAATAAGAAATATCCAATGAACTATTGCAAATCTTTTTCTTGATGAACCAAAGTTAAAAGCAATGATATTCAATGATTATGATATTAAAGGCCAAAAAAACCTCTGAAGCTAATCCTAGTATTTGAAGATTGAATGCTTGATGTTGTAGTAAGTGGTTATTTGCTTACATTTTGTGGTTGTACTAGATATTTTGTACTAAATATTTTATATTATAAGCTAGACAAGTTATCATGTCATTCATTTATTATTGTTTGTCATTTTTAATATAATGTTATATTAATATCTATACATTATATAAAAAAATGTAATGTCGTGTCCGCGCCATACCCGTGTTCTATATTTTCAAAAAAGGTCATGTCCTATGTCGTGTCCATGTCGCATTGTCCGTGTCCGTGTCCGTGCATCATAGTTTGCATCAAACCTCTTAGAAAATCTATAGCTTCCATATTAGACTACCGAGCATGAATCCAAACTGATTGTGGGAAACATTAGCATCATATTATAACATATGCTCAATTACTCTCTCTCATAATTTTAATATATAACACATTAACTTAATTCCTCTATAATTTGCATTCTTATGCATCACATTTATTCTTAAAAATAAGAATCAACACGCTCCTCCACACCTCTGGCATCTTCTTAGTCATCAAAATGATATTAAAAAGTTTAGTAAACTAAGAAATTCCTTAATCTCATAAGCATTCTCACACTTCTAATAAAATATCATAAAGTTCTAATACTTTTTCGTGTCATGTATTAGTGAAAAATAGTCAATCAACTAAACATGAACACCTGTTTTCCCAATTTTTCAATATTATTTCCAGCAAAAACCCCAAAAAAAAAAAACAGAAGTAAGAAAAGAACAACGGGATGACATGATTAGTTTCCTAGAAACTAACATGGTAACAAAATTTGACAAGCGGAGAAATTGCTCCTTCTAAATGGCAACAAATATCATTTAGGCCCCCTAATGGATCTTCAACTCCAATATGATATCAATTTAAAATAGCTACCATTCAGATTGTTTGGCTCCCAGAATTTGCTTTGCAGAGCAAGCGGATTCTGTAAAATAAATGGTACGATTTTCCTGCATTTTTCTTTGCAGCAATTTTGAAAAGAAAGTGAATTACGAGCTAAATCAAATAATTAGCTAACACTAACAAGCACAAGAAAATTGGGTTGCACGTAAGCCTTTAGCTGCACGCAACTTTGAAGCCAACCATAAAACCCAACTATTTTGTATCACAAAGCTAAAACATAAGATCAACTTTAAATAAATGATGTTTATCATTGTGGTATACATATACCAAAAGAACTTAAGTTCTCGACTCCCATGATATAGAAGTGCATTTTATTGCTAATAGGAATGTGTTAGACCGATCCATTGGACCGGTCTAGCCGGTCCATATGAGACTGGCCCACGCTAACAGAGGCAGAACTCTCCGCCTCCTGTACGCCCGATCCGACCGCCCAAGCACCGCAGAGCTGTTTAGAAAGGTTTTTGAAGGGGGGTTAGGAGGGAAATTTCAAAATAGGGGTTGTTTAGAGATTTTCTTTTGGATTATATGCATTAAATAATTTGTTTTCCTAGGGTTATGACATCTTGAATTTGGCTGAAATTTGAGATCTCTTAAATTTTTTGGACTCTAGCGGTGTCTAGAGATTTGGGAGATATAGATCCTCCTCTCAAATAGAGTATCAATTGTATCTTGTTATTTTCCTTCAGTTAGTTTGATTATTCCAATAAAAACTACTAATTTTCTGATTTTTCTTTTTGATTGGTTGATCGTTCTTGCTGTTTTTGTCAAGATCGTTAGATTTTACTTGAGTTCTTCAAGTGTTTCCTAACAAAATGTTTTCCAAATTGCAGGAACAGTGGCACACAGCTCAAATGCTATCGTTGACTAAGCAAGTAACAAATCAAGAGCCATCTCAGCTATATTTCTGGGTCATGCTGACTTGAGGTAAGGACTGGGTTTTACAAGATCATACTGAAGCAGTTAAATGCCCAAACATACTTCCAACTCAACGATCCAACTACTATTACCAAGTTCCAGTCGAAGATGCAAGCTAGCTTTCTCAAAAAAAATGATGAAGATTATCCAAGATTGCAGTGTAAGCCTTCATGTTGCTATAGCATACAAACAAGGATTATACAGAGATTACCAAAATAAATAATATCTGACATTTATTGATTGTGAGGCTACAAATTCGGAAAGAGAATAATTAATTATGTTAAGCAGATAGGATAAATGTTATGTTTTTTGTTGGCAATAACATGAAAGTTACTTTTAAGTCATTTAAGTAAGAATCATGATGTACCTTGTTGAAGCATGCTCCCCATCAACCGATTGGTCCCTTGTAAATTAAGACTACCTGAACCAATATTTCCTCCAAAACTCCCACGTGATGCTAGAGCAGGAAGAGCTCCACTAGTGCTTATGCTTCTCCCCATGTTGCCACCATTGACTATGTTACCCAGTGAGTTAGCAGCTCTTGAACTTATATTGCCCAAAATTGGCGACGTGCCCATCCCAGGGACAGAGTTACGGTTACTAGAAATGACAGAGTTTGACGAAATTCCAGGGAGTGAACCACCAACTCCATTCAAACTGCTACTAAAACCAGGGCTTCCTACAATACTTATACCCCCACGACTAGTAACTCCTGAATGTCCATGTGAGCTTCCGTGTGAAATCTGACCGACAAGTTAAATTAGAAGAAAAAAAATAAGCCAAACTAAAAAAGCCAAGAGCTTTTATTAGCAGGCTACAAGTATATAGCATCGCATTCGAATTTATAACAAACCCAACATTACTCCACCGAAAATTAAGAATGTCACTAACTAAACCTGAGATAAACCAACTGGAAGATTGTTGGACGCAAAACGTCCACTAGAGATGCTTCCCCCAGGTTGCTGAACACCACTCGATGGAACACCACTCAATGCTACATTGCGTGATGCAAGTGATGCCGACATATTGGGTATGTTGAAGCTTCCACTTACATTGTGCAACCCTTGAATATCAACTATAAATTAGAAACCCTATAAAGTATGATTAAGCAGTGATCAATAGAGTAAAAATCAAATCTACATACCTGAGGGATGAAATCCTTGGGCAGTTGCAGATTGGGCAGAAAATGAATTTGTGAATGGCCTGCCTGTGGATTCAGGGAAGTTTGATGCTGAACCGTTAAGTTGCGACTGCAAAAAACTTTATATAAATAAATCGAGAACAATATGCAGAAAGAAAATCATATGATGGATGATAAAAGAAGTACAGACCATTGGACAAGAAGAATACATAAACAAATAGAACACACTAAAAAACAAAATGGTCAATGCAAAAAAACATTTACACCAAATAATTATCAACTTAACTCTGCATTTCTTTATTTTTTTAACTAAAAAAAGAGTTTTCAAAGTTGTCTTAGATATGAAGACAGGAAGGAAATCAAATCAGATGAAATGAAATGAAGAATATCAAATCAGATGAAATTGTCAATTTAAAATAACATGAGAGACAAGAGAAATAACTTAGCTTAGTCATCAGCAACAGAAACAAAAGGTTCAATAAGTTTTGAGCACCATAGCTACTATACATGTACAAGCTGTAACAGAACCAACATAGGCTGACCTTGCATGGAAGAGGGAACTTTCGAAAGCTTTATAAAAATAACAAGGATGAGAGCATTAAAGATATTCAAAATAAAACAACTCAGTTAACGTTCAACAAGTAAACGACATGAATATATATATATTTAACTTTGTATACAACACCCTTTTTTTTTTTTGAGGAAGAAGGACATTCGTGAAGATGAATATATAACAAAAAGAATAAGTCTCTCAAAACATGAGGTGATGGAACAATTTTAGTGAAGGGTTCCATAATGGTATAGTGACCTCCAAAGATATAAGTAGCTTAACACAAAAAGGGATCTAAAGTAGGCGTTCTAAATGCCTTAAATTCACGGTTCTAAAATAAAAAGGAAATGCCAAGCAATTAGTGAGAAACATGTCAAAATCATAATGGTGATAAAAAATGCCCGCTAATTCTTTTGTGAATACAAGGAAGAAACATATATAGTAGCCATCAACTAAGCAGTATAAAAATAGGTCCAATAGGATAAAATTTTCTAAACCAGATGCTTCCATAACTAATGAAATATGGGAATTACATTGAGCAACCCAGACATTTTCTTCATAAAGCTCTGACAAATTCTATTCTCTCGTTCTGCTGGACTCTTGAATGGCAGCTTTGCACTCCATTTTTCTCATCTTTCTGCAACTTTCAACCATCTGAAATGCACAACACTGTACAGAAATAAGATTAGATGGCAATACCATGCAACTAGCATACCAAGTTCCACCAAAATGAAAAACAGAAGACGGAATGATTCAACATAAATACATAGTATGCCAAGATTGAAAAACAACTGCCTTAATCAACAAGATAGCTCTTATTGAACGCCGCCCATTCATTCAGGAGTGGCCATATCTAGACATTTAATAGACACCATAGCCAACTAGCACTAAACCCATCAATTTGCTCATGTTTAATGATCAAATCAGCACAAGATGCAAAACATATTCAATTAGACAAGTGAACTGAGCCCCAGCTACCGATTCCAGATCTAAAAATCTAGAGAAAAGCATCGGGTCAACTATAAGTCCCGGATTTAGCATAACAACGACAGAAAATCAGATCTTAACTCATGAAGAGGATAATTCATCGTCTTCAGAACTACCGCATGTGGCAAACGCCTCGAGTGATACCGATCGAACGAGTTGATGGCAGAAGACTAAAAAAAGGGGTGAAAGTCTTACCTGTAGAGAAGACAAAAACGAAGGTCTTGTGGACGCGAGCTCGTTTTATCTCGAGAAGAAGGGGAAAAAGAGGCGGCAATGGTCCCCTGAAGAGAAGGTGAAGCAATCAATTCGAGATTCAACTCAACTATCGATAGCAAGCTATGATGAGAAGAATAAGAAAGAAGGTTAATACTTAATACTGTATAAAATGGAACTTATCGGAATTTAGGCAGGTTCTGTTGGGGGCTCTTTTGGCTGCCAGCAGGATGAAGTCATTAGCTTTATTGAAAAAAATGAATAAGAGAAATATAATGAAAAATAAATATAATACATCTAAAATATTTTTAAATTACTTAGTTGAGTATTTTATTTAGGGGTGTCAAAATCTTACACGACCTGAAACTCGATCCGACCTTGATCCAAAAAAATTCCGAGTTTGGGTCAACCTGTTTAACATACGGGTTGGGTTCAGTTTCGAGTTTTCAATCTATTTGCAAACCGAGTCGGGGTTGGGTTGACCCGGAAACCGGAAATCGGAAATCAACCCGGTTCGACCACAGAAATGGTTGTCGTCGCATCGAGTCCCAGCCATTGCGTTAGGTTACAAAGCCATCAGTCGTCAAGTAACAGACGTCAGTCGTCAAGTCGCAACTGAGTGTCGGACGTCAGTCGTCGAGTCGCAGCCAGAGCCCAAAGCCATTCTTGCCAAGTGTCGGACGTCTCCATGCTAATCGTGTGACACCTCCTATCCGGAACCACCACGCTTCACCACCCTGTCGCCTCACCTGTCGTTGCACGCTATTTTTGATCAAACGGGTCCGCGGGTCGAGTCGAGTCAACCTGATAACCCGAGTGAGTCGGGTACGGGTTGAAATACCTGACCCGTTTAAACCCGGGTTCAACCCGAACCCGAACCGTCAACCCGTTTTTACACCCCTAATTTTATTAATTTAGAAGATTTTTTTATTTTAAGTAAAATTAATTTAGTATAAAATCAAGGTAGCATCGGCGATGTAACCAGCGAATGACGGGAAGCCATCAAAATCATAATTTATGGATGAAATATATGGCATGATGGATGTATCACATGAAGACATCTCATCATGCAACTCTTTAGAAAAAATGTCATAAAATTCACTTAGAAAATTTAATGGTGTAATAAATATGAAAATCTTAACATATCAAAGCCCCACATGGGGTCCTAGTGGGGTACCCATTGGGTACCCATGCTTTACTCGGACGGGCTTCGCCCACCCACACCCACCCATGATGACTTTCGGATGTCATACCCACATATACCCACCCACTTTACATGCTTTTTAAACGCAGTTTGCCACTGATTGATGGCCTTGAGGCTTATTACCCTTTGCTCTGATTGCAAACTTTCAAGACACATATCAGAATTTACTGTAGCATGGTTAAGTGTTGCACACTATGTAGTGAGTATTGCAGTAATATAATATATACGATGATTAGCAATGCAAATCGATTTATCCTTCAATGTTGAGTACCCACCTACAAGGCCATGAGTGTAGCCATACCCACCCATGGGTAGGTGTGGGTATGGGTACCCAATGCATGACTCTGTAGCAGACTTTAAAGTGACTTCCTTCACATGATGGAGGTAAAGGGAAACCTCATCAGACAACTTTATCATTATTATTTATAGATAATGGACTTAGTATGAACCCTAAAGACATAATCAAAAGTGTGCAAATCATACTCCATTCTAAAGATATATTGGATCATACTCCATGATCCAATATATCTTTATGGCTGTATGAGTGGTGATAAATTTCATTAATACCAATTACTAATTTAGACATTTTTCTCATTACATGTTCTTATGCTTTGGATTCTTAAAAATATTTTTTATTAGACAGAAAAATAACAATCAAAAGTAAAGGTACCAGCTTCCCACTAGATGAAAGTGTAATAATTATAACTTCCTCAAACTTATCAAACTTAGTGTTATCAATTTCTTCTAAAAATAAGATCATGCCTTAACATTATGTTTGTATGTATCCCTTTATATTGCATTTGAAATAAATGAATTTCTTAGTATTCTTAGGATGTTAATCAATGAAAGTTCTTGGTAGCAGTGGCGGAGCCAGAAAATGTATTTAGGGAGGCCTAAATTATTATTTTTTTATTTTCCTTCAAATTTTTACATCTGGACTTGGGATCAAAATAGGGATCAAAATAGTCAGTTTTAAAAATGATAAAACTTTGATAGTGAATTAGTTTATTTTTTTTCTTCACAAAATGACTTCCAATCATTAAATCACTTGAATACTGTTAGAACGAGTTCAATATATTAACTAAATACGTGATATTAAAAATCTCATTGCACAAAAACAAATCATAAAATCTCTTTAAGATCGAATCAATACAGGATTAAGCTAATATAAACCTAGAAAAAAATGTAATGGAGATAGATGGTGTGATACGAGGTTTGGCAATAAACCTAATAAAAGAAGTGGTAGAAGTTTTAGCTTTGGGACTAGAAAAAACTTCTTCTATTGTTAATCAAGAGTTTATAGTAAAAACAATATCTTAAGTATGTAGATTTAAAAGCTCAACCATATTCTTAATTTTCACTTTGAGAGAAGCTATAAATTTGTTAACTATCTATTAATCATGGACAATATTATTTTGTATAGCCAAAACATCCTTAAAAATATTTGAATAATAATGATCCTCAACCTTGAAGTAGTGCTCTAGTCATTATCTTACGCACATGAGTTAGTGATGCATCAAACACTAATCAAAACAATTTACTAACTTCGAACATTTGGCCTTGAGCAAATGGGTTTGATGATCCAAGCTATAAACATGTGAATTGGAGGGTCAAATAATCAAAGCCAACTATAAGTGGAGAGCTTATAGGAGTTAAGTTAATGACCCAATAGATGCCATCCTCAAGACAGTTAGTGACAAGGAGAGTTGTTGGTGTAAGGTATCCACATAAAACAAGTTACTACAGTAAGTTAATGGTTCAACAAAAAGAAAGTTGTCAATGAGGATCCATTCGCAGAAGAGTCAATAGATTTTTATTTATAAAACAAAAAAGTGAAGAAATGTGTTATATCCGAAGCTATGTTGTACAAGGTATTATTCATTGTGGCACAACTAATCTTACATTAGGGTAAACCTAGAATTATATTCTTTTCATATAACTTTTTAAGGGTTGAACATCTTAAGAATACTCTATTGCAAGTATGCTTAGTTGTGGAGATCCAAAGAGAAATCAACAAGATGATTCATTGCCAAAAGAATGGTAAAAAGGGTCAGTATAAATGTCACTAAGGCAACCACCAGCTATAGAGCATTAGAAACAAAGACATCGATCAATTAATTCCTATGTTAGCGAGCATTATGGTAAGAGTTGTCATCCCAATAATCGATGGGTATTAAGCACAAGTCGATAGTTTAGCTTTAGAGATTTCCTAGTGTCCGATCAAATTAGGTTAGGGCAACACTGAAGATCTAATCAGCATTCTTCTTCATCCAAAAGAAGGTTTCAAGAGAAAAAATTTTTGTGGTAGCCAACTTCAACTCAAGAAGAGTCAATGGAGAACACATCATCATTATGCCCAGCAAAATAGATGTTTAAAAGCATCTGTCTAATATTCCAGTGAAAGTCAATGTCATACGTGCAAAACCAAACTGTTGAGTCAGACCAACTTTTGGATGTTGACTTCAAAAAGTACTATGTCAGTTACCAAATTATTTGACATGTATACGAAAATGACCCGAAATACTATAAAAAAAGTAACACAATATAAAAACTAAGAAATTTTTAGCTAGCTTGAATCAAATTATTGTCAAGTCATGGCAACCACGAAAATATTTCAATATAAAATTTAAAGTGACTCTCACAATCTCAAATAAACTCGAATGTATTTTAATTTGACGAAAAGTTGAATGTGCTTCAACTTTAATTTTTATTCAAAAAAATAATATTTAAAAAAAAAAACCTATATAGACCATAATAAGCATCCAAACAAAATCCATCATAAGTATGTAGCAACTCGATTTCATGATAGACTCTAATTAAATGAGCGAAAGCTAATTTTAATTATTCCTGTTTTGGGCCCAAAGTGGGCTTTATTTTCTAAAAGGTCATTTGTCCTTTTCGAATATTAACACTAAATCATACCTAACGGAGCAGCTAATTATGCACCACATATATTAAAAAAAAAAAAATCTGGCCATAAATTTTTGCTTTATTATGCGCACCGCTTAAATTTTTTTATTTACATATCAACATCACAACAACAACATCAAGTCTTTGTCCCACTACATGGGGTTGGCTACATGAATCATTTTTCGCCATTGTGTTCGCTTAAAAGTCAAATTCTCATCTAAATCTAATACAGAAAGATCATTTCTAATATTTTCTAACCAAGTCTTTTTAGGTCTACATCTACCTTTCTTAACATAAGCTAAATCTAATACCTCAACTTTCCTAACCGGGTCATCAGAAGGCCTCCGTTTAATGTGACCAAATCATCTAAGGCGACTCTCTCTAATATTATCTTCCACTGGAGCTACTCCAACCTTTTCACATATATGCTCATTTCGTATCTTATCTCTAAGGGTCAAGCCACTCATCCACCTAAGCATCCTCATCTATGCAACACTTAACTTAGTAGTATGCTTCTCTTTTAACGGCCAACATTCGGCACCATAAAGCATTGCAGGTCTCACCACGATCTAATTGAATTTTCCCTTAAGTTTGAGGGGAATAAAGAAGTTCTCATATTATACATATTGTGATGAGATTTACACTCATTTACTGAAGATAAAAAGATGAATATTAATTTTGTTATGCAATTGAAGATTTGAATTGCATTGTTATAATTAGTTAAAAGTTAATTTCATTTTATGAAGTGATAAAATTGGATGTAAAAAATACAAAAAAAAAAAAAAAAAATTACAGATTTTTTTGAAAAATCTTGATAAACATAATTATTTTAAATTATTCAATCAAGAATAAAGGATTTAATTTATATTTATAAACTTTTCCATATAAATAAAACTCTCTAGTCATGTTAGCATGTTGTATTGCCTATTAATTACCTCCAAATGTAGATGTCCAGTCCAATGTTAGACTCCTTAAGAAAAACTAAAGAATATTTCTATTTATAGTTTTATTAAATTGAATAAAATCAAATAAAAAAT